ACCATATGACTTTTAAGAGATGGGGAGAAGCTGGATGATGGTGGCTCATGCCTGTAATTCTAGCTATTCAGGAGGCAGAGATCAGAAGGATCAAGGATCGAGGTTCGAAGCCAGCTTGGGCAAATGGTTTGTGAGACCATATCTCAAAAAAAACCCTTCACAAAAAAGGCTGGTGGAATGGCTCAAAGTGAAGGCCGTGAGTTCAAACGCCAGTACCAAAAAAAAAAAGATGGGAAGATGCGGATATTAAATGAATAGCAATTTAAAAGACACTTATTCTCAGATTTCAACATTATGTAATTTAATTTTCATCATAAATTTATAAAAATTTATAAAAATTTTTAAGTGAACAGAAACAGCATATACTACTTATAATAAGCAAAATGTCTCATTAAAATGAGTTGGAGAATAAGTGGGAAGAAAATTCATATTTATCTGGTTTCTCTCATTTATTTATTTATTTTGGCGGCACTAGGTTTTGAACTCAGGGTCTTACGATTGCCAGGCAGTCACGCTACAACTTGAGCCACACCGCCAGCCCTTTATCTATCTATTTATTTATTCATTTAACTACCCAGTGATTATTCAAGAATGAATTGTTCACTCTCCGTGTGTTTATCCAACACACTCTCCATTTGTGTTTATTTTGTAGTTTCTCTTATTATTTCTAGTTTTATTCTATTGTACTCTGATAAGATATAGCAAATTATTTCAATTTTCTGTATCCATTAAAGACTTGCTTTGTGCCCTAAGATATGACCTGTTTTGGAGAAAGTTCCATGGGCTTCTGAGAAGAATGCGTATTGTGCGGCTGTTGAGTAGCATATTCTGTAGGTATCTGTTAAATTCATTTGATCTCTAGTGTCTTTTAATTCTGAAGTTTCTTTGTTGATTTTTGTCTCCATGACCTGTTGATTGGTGACAGTGGGATATTAAAGTCATCCACTATTATTGTGTTGGGGGGGTCTACCTCTGTTTTTATAGTGTTTGCTTTATGAACTTGGGTATGTTTACCTGGTGTGCATATGTTTATAATTGTTATCTCCTCCTGCCGGATTGTTCCCTTTATCAATAGGAAATGACCTTTGTCTCTTCTGATTAATTCTGGTTTGAAGTCTGCTTTGTCAGATATGAGTATAGCTACTCCTACTTGCTTTTGGGCTCCATTTGCTTGGAAAATCTTTTTTCATCCTTTTACTCTAAGCCTATGTTTGTCTTTGCTGGTGAGGTATGTTTCCTATAGGCAATAGGTGGTCAAGTCTGTTTTTTAATCCAGCCCTCCAGTCTGTGTCTTTGGATTTGAGAATTGAGACCATTAACATTCAGAGTTATTATTGGAAGATATGCAGTAATTCCTGTCATTTTATTGGTTTGTGGTGTTTGATTCCTCCTTCTTCCTCATTTGCTTATTGCCCAGACAAATCCTTTGAGACACCCTATCTGGAAAAAAACATTCACAAAAAAAGGGCTGGTGGAGTGCCTCAAGGTGTAGACCCTGAGTTCAAACTCCAGTACTGTCAAAAAACAAAAAAGAAAACAAAACAAAAAACAAACAAAAAATCCGTATAGACATTGAAGCTATAATTTATAAGTTTAGAAGTTTAAATGCATGCATTTTTCAATTTAATCTCTTGCTGACCAGTTTTAATGTCAACATTAAGGATTTCTTTAATTTTACCATATAACACCAACAGCAAATCACCCTCAGTACCACACATTTTGGTTTGGTTATTTTGGAGATGGGGTCTCTTGAACTACTTTGAACTGCTGTCCTCTCAGTCTCATCCCCCCAAGTAGCTAGGATTAAGTGAGCCTCCAGTGCCTGGCATGTTGGTAACTTTTCACAAAGCCATCTATGGTTCTTTTATTTTTTTGCCTTCAGCTTCACTACTCTGTTGTCATGGTAAGTTTTCTGTGGCACAGGCATGAGAGTACTCCAGAGAGGGTAGTCACACAGACAAGAAAAGGGGTTTCCTTTGGTTTTGGTAATAAGCCCTTAAGAGTGTCATAAGCAAAAGAAGCAGCTCAGTTCACAGTAGTGCTCTGAGCCAAAACACCAAACTTGGCCTCTAAACCAATAGTTTCTGCGCTTTTTCCATTTTCATCATACAGCCACGGGAACCTTGAATTGCCCTCGTCAGAACCTTTCCAATATCAACATCTAATCAGTTCCAGCAAAATCTAGTACATATGCTACACGTAACATTGTTGCCCTAGGGCTGCACCAGAAGCCAGGTGCGTCACAAGCCACCTCCAGAACTGTTTTGCTTTCTTAACTCCAAACCTGAAGAGTTGTTTATATTTGTCCTTCAAAGCCAAGTTCAGAGCTTGTGCTGGGAAATACTTGACATATTTGTCAAATTGTTTCTCCAATCCTTGGAGAAACCCTGCTGAGGGGGGTCAGCACCAGGCAGTCCGCAGCGCCTCATCTGCTCAGAGGACACCTGTGCCTGCGGTGGCAGGCGTTTCCACCCATGTCTCAGGCTTCCTCACAGGTGCACGCTGCATGATGGGGGATGGCGAAACATCTTTTTCAATGCTGTTTTTGTAAGTATCAAAACTAATAAAGACACTCCAACTTCAGTAAACACAAGACAAAACAGCATTTGTTTAGCTACACTTGTGTGTCTGGCGTTCTTGGTGGGGTCTCTGAGGCTCTTGGAGAAAAGATTTCCTCTCCTTGGGATGTCCAGAGATGAGGGCTGGAGGGTTGGATGCTTTTGATCCAGGTGTGTGTGCATGTGTGTGCGTGTGATGGAAAACAGGTGGGATCAACACAATTATGGAAATAATCTGTAAGGAATTTGTGTAAGAGGTGTACTGGACTGTGGAAAGGATTTAATTACAATTGGTTAATACATCAAATATTAAGCACCTGCCTGGTGTGGTAGTGGACACCTGTAGTCTCAACTTGTAGTCCCAATTTCTCAGGAGACTGAGGCAGGAAGATTGCTTGAGTCCTCCAGTAGTTCAAGGCCAGCTTGGGCAACATAGGAGACCTCATCTAAAAAATAAAACAGGCCAAGATGGCTCATGCCTATAATCCTAGGCACTCAGGAGGCAGAGATGGGGAGGATCACGGTTCAAGGCCCAGCCTGGACAAACAGTTAGTGAGCCCCATCTCAACCAATGAGAATGGGATGTGGTGATGTATGCCTGTCATCCCAGCTATGTGTGAAGCATAAATAGGAGGATCCTGGTCCAAGCTGGCCAGGCATAAACGTGAAACCCTATTCAAAAAAATAACTAAAGCTAAAAGGGCTGGCGGTGTGGCTCGAGAGGTAGTGTGCCTGCCTTAGCAGGGCAAGGCCCTGAGTTCAAACCCAAGTACCTCCAAAAAAAAAAAAAGAAAAAATACTGAGTACCTGATCTGGTTTTAAAACTGAGATACATCGATCAGGAAACAAAAACAGATTAATGATCCTGCCTCCAGGAGTCTTGCTGTCTAATCTGAAAAGACAATTCACTATAAACATAATGAATAAGTACTCCAGATGAGATGTTACAGGGTGTAATTGCTCCAGAAAAAAGGACAGCTGGGAATGTGGTGTGGGTGGTAGATTGCAATTTATGTTTCTTTTCTTTTTGCAGTGCTGGAGATTGAACCTTGGGCTTTGCATGTGTTAAGAAAGTGCTGTATCACTAAGCTATACCCCTTTTTTGAGCTAGGGTTCTGCTTTGTAGCCCAGGCTGGTTTCAAACAAACTCTAGCTCCTCCTGCCTTTGCCTCCCAAGCATAGGAATTATGGGTGTGAGCCTCCACGTCTGACCTTCCTTTCTTCCTTCCCTTCTCCCTCCCTCCCCACGTCTGACCTTCCTTCCTCCCTCCCTCCCTCCCTCCCTCCTTCCTTCCTTCCTTCGTTCCTTTTATTTGCATGCAGTGCGGGGGATGAAACCCAGGGCAAGGACTCTCCCACTGAACCACAACCTTAGCTTGGATTGTAATTTTAAACAGTGATTGGGTAGGCTTCACAGGGAAAGCAAATCCTTCAACCACTTGCAGGAAGTGAAGCAATCTGTCCATGAAGATGTCTTAGGAAGGAGATTTCTAGGCAGAGGGCACAGCCAGTGCAAAGGATCTGAGGCTGGAGTATGCATGAGAGGAAAGGCTAGGGAGAAAGGTAGATTGTGTGGGCTCTTGTTGGTCGTTAGAAAGACTGGACTCTTGGGGCTGGGGATGTAGCCCGGTGGTTAAGTGTTTGTCTAGCATGCACAAGGCCCTGGGTTCAATTCACAGTACTGCAAAGACTGAGCTTTCACTGGAGGCATGGCTCAAGTGGTAGAGCACCTGCCTAGCAAGTGGGAAGCCCTGAGTTTAACCCCCAGTACCACCAAAAAAAAGAGAAGAAAAATGAGAAAAGGATTAAAGCACATTTCATGTCAGCTTACTGGATTTTCTTCCCAGTGTCTTGTGTGGAGTGTGTGTGTGTGTGTGTGTGTGTGTGCGCACGCATGCTTGTGTGCGTGTGCATATGAGTGCAGCTCTGACAAGGGCAGGGACTTGGGTGTGGAAAAAGGCTTCCAGAGCTCACAATTGATCCTCGGATCTTCCTCCCACCATTGTCCTTCCCAGGCTGGGGTGTGGTTTCTTCCACCTCCTCAGTTGTTTTATGACATACCCCCAGCCCTGGGAATTCAGTTTCTCAACCATAGAGCAAATTAAAGATGAGAAGGGACCCCCGAACCCCTCCTCTGCACCCACCTCCTCCCGCCCCTCCCGGGGCACTGACTCCCAGCCATGAAAGCCTCCCAGTGACAGGCAGACAGGACTAGGACAGAGACTGGGAAAACAGTGAGCCGCTGGGGTCCCATGTCACACCTACCCCTGAGGCGTGAGGATCTTCCTCTTCCCTACCTCCTCCCTACCTCCCACCTCTCCAGGCCCTCATCCTCTCTCCCTCCTACACACACACACACACACACTCTGACACAATGGGCGGGTGGGGCTGCGAACTGGCTTCCTCTGTGGCGATCGCAATCAGGGCCCTCAGTTCCCGCCCCAGAAATGCAGGCACTTAGCGAGGCCTGCATTCCTTGCTCCAAGGAGCAGGGAGGACAGGCTGAAAACAGAAGAGTGTTTCCAAGAAACACTCTTGGAAAGATACAGGTAAATTCCTGGGGAGCCTCTGCAGGTTAGGGAGGGAAGCAGAGTTAGGGGTCCCCTGCTATGAAGTGTGGGCTGGCTCCGGTTGCTCAAGTCACCGAGAGAGGGACGATCAGACAGGCCGCGGAAGGATACACATAGCATTCCTTATCTAAGATGGTGGCGCAGACACTGTCAGCCCACACTGATGCCATGGCCACTTGGTCGTCACCCTACCCCTGCCACACAGCCATGCAGATGGAACATGCAGAAGAGCGGTCCTTTCTCCTCGCCTGGCTTTCAGCCTCTCTCCAGACCCATTAACCCCGACAGCCTGGCTCCCCAGCCCCTCACATCTCCCAGAGCGCCCAGTGTGCGTATGTGGAGTGTGGTGTGGTGGTGGTGGTGGTGGTTGGGGGGGGGGTGTCCGGTTGGGAGGAGGATCTGATTCCTGTTTCCTGCCCCTACTCACTCAGCCCTGGGAGGTGATTGAGAGTGGAGGGGACTCAACGGTGAGTGCTTGGGGCCCCCAACTACCTGGGCCCTTTAGGAGGTTCAAGTGTGTATGTGGCGGGAGAGCTGGGTGGGGGGTGTAGGAAGTAAATGTAGGTACCTGGGGTGGGGGTGGGGAGTGGGATCCCTAAAGGGGGCAAGAGTTGGGGAGGAGCTGGTCAGCTGATGAGGTCACTGCCTGGTCACCTAGCTAAGAGGCTTCCTGATAGAGTACAGTGGCCACTGTGCTGCTGTCTGCAGCCCCCTGCGCCCATCATTAGTCAAGATTCTAACCTGGGGCATGGAAGGCTGTGACCTCTGCTGATGCTGAAGGGAGTTTGGGGGCTCCCCTGTGTCCCAGTTCTGTCCCTACAGTCTTTTGGGGATTACAGCCTCTTTCCCCACAAGAGGAAGAGAAGCCCAGGCCCCAGTGTTCTGGTCCTTTTGGTCCTATCCTTCATTCTGGGTCCCCCGGCCACCTCCCCTAGGCTTCCTGGCAGAACTCAGTCCTCCACTGGTGCCTCTGTTTATGACCAGACCTGGAGCAGGCAGGGATAAGAAGATGAGGGGCAGAAGAGACCATGCTGGGGCCTCCTTGTCTCCTAGGGTCGGAGGCTCCAGGAATCTTCATGGCAGGAAAAGGAGACTAAAAATAACCCGGAAAGGGAGAGTCCGGAGAGAGGAACTGGGAAATGGGGGAGGTGGGTGGAGGGCCAGTCAGAGCAGGGAAACAGTGATGCATCCCTCACAGCTCAGGCTTGCACGTGCACACACATGGGCACGGACACACACTACACCCGGATAGCACAGAACGCACTTACACCCTCCCACCCCTACTCCTACACTCACACCACACTCCCTGATGGGCCACAAACCACACACTGTCCACTTCATGTTCCCAGTGAGCACCATGCAATCCCCACTCAGTTGGCACTAGACACAGTGACACCTAAACCACACGACAAACCCGCACACTGCATACTGACACGGTGTCGACACTGGCAAGCTGAATTCCTCTTGCTGCATCTCTGGTGTCCCCGGCTGCCTGATCGTGGGTCTCTGCCTAGCCACTGCCCCCACTCCCCACTACTCCCCACTATGGCAGTAAAAGTCAAAAGACACAAAAATGAGGGCTGGGAAAGCTAAGCAAGGCTTCCCAGAGCTGGGTATGGTGGCATACACCTGTAATCCCAGTCTGGGCTACATAGTGAGACCTTGACTCACAAAAAAAAAAAAAAAAAAAAAAAAAAAAGAGATGCTGCCTTGGGAGGGTCCAGGGGCAGAATGAGGAAGGATGGATTCTGCATTAGCCTTCCCTTCTGACTCCACAAGCCTGGCTGTGGATGGATTCAGTCTACCCAGGGGGGTGGGGGTGGGGGGGTGGGTACTGAGAGGCTCTCTCACCCTTTACTCCTCCACTCTCCTCAGGGGATGACTCCTGCAAAACACTGTACTCCTTCCAAGAGCTCAGAGGAAGATGTCAGCCCAGTCCCTTCCAGCAGCAACACCCCCTATCCTGAAGCCTCCTCGGATCATCCGGCCTAGGCCCCCTTCTCGTCCCAGGGCTCCCCACTCCCCAGGCCCTCCCCACAATGGCTCCTCTCCACAAGCACTTCCTGGAGCCTGCAATGATGCACTAGCCCCAATGTGCACCCCCATCTTCTGGGAACCTCCAGCTGCATCCCTCAAGCCCCCTGCTTTTCTGCCTCCCTCAGCTTCTAGCGCCAGTCTTGACTCCCAGACTTCCCCAGACTCACCTCCCAGCACCCCCAGTCCAGTGTCCCGGCACTCCATTTCCCCAGAACCTGCTCCCCGGTCTCCAGTCCCTCCACCCAAGCCCCCTGTATCACTCCGTACACCTCTGCCCCTGCCCCCCATGTCTGGGGGCCTGACCCAGGGTGGCTCTGCCTCGGCCCCTGGTACTGTGCGGAGACTGGCAGGCAAGTTTGAATGGGGGGCTGATGGCAGGACCCAGGCTGTGGACTCCCTGGAGCAGGGCTCCCAAGGGGGAGCGGATGTCAACGGGGAGAGAAAGACTTCCCAAGGCGTCCTTGCTGGGAATGGATCCCAGGAGAACGGCGCTCCAGGTAAGCACATGGTGGGCCTGGGGTGGGCCCAGTCCAGCCTATCCTGGTTTTCAATGCTTGAAGAGTGGGAACTTTCAGGGGCTAGTTTTTCTATAAGGGACTTTGTGTTTGGGAAATCTGGCTTCTGTTTCTGGGAATTTGAAGACAGGCTGGAGACCTTTAGATGCCTGGGGTAGGACCTGGATGTTGGGAGGAGGCCTGAGTGGGGTTGACCAGGCCCCAAGGTTTTCTCCTTAGGATATCCCATCTTCCACAGATGCTGCCCTGGCCTGCCCTCCTTGCTGCCCCTGTGTCTGCCACATAGCACGGCCTGGCCTGGAGCTCCAATGGGTGCCTGTAGGGGGTTCTGAGGATGTCCCAAGGGCTCCCTGCCGGGCCTCCCCACTGCGTACCTCCCGTTCCCGCCCCAGTCCTCCAAGCATCAGTCACCCTGCAGTCGTCCTCACTTCCTACCGGTCCACTGCTGAGCGCAAACTCCTGCCACCTCTCAAGCCCCCCAAACCAACCAGAGCCAGACAGGATGACGGCATCCCTGGGGATCGCCCACAGCCGGATCTTGATCTGTTTGCTGAAGACGGAATTCAAACAGGTATAGGGCTTGGTGTGGGGGAGGGCTCTGGCTTTGAAGGGACAAGGTGGAGGTGGAATGGCCTGAAACCCAACCCTGGGCTCTTTGTTCTGCTTTGGGGCTGATGATGGTGATAAATTTTGTAGCAAGCCTCTTCTGGGGCTGGGCTCAGGAGTCCAGGGCCAGAGGGTCCTGGAGGCTTGTTCTCTTCACTCTGGGTTCTCTCTCCAGGGGACAGTCCTGATGAAGCTTCTCGAAATGCTCCTCCTGCAGCCCTGGAGGGAAGGTACTGGACCCCCTACCCCACCCCACCCATACTCCTGACCATGCTCGCACCCTAGGGCAGACTAGCCATCAGGTCAAGGTAAATCCCACCTCCGCAGAGGTGGAGGGAAGAAGTGGTCTATGTGAATACAGTGGTCCTTGCTTCTCAATGGTGGATGAGTTCCAAGCAGTCCCAGTTTCTAATCTTAGCTCTGTCCCTTACTAGTTATGTGATCTTACACAAATCCTTACCCTTTCTGGGTCTCAGTGTCCTGTCTAGGAAATGGTGATAAGCATATCCACTACTCCACAGGTCTTGTCTTTGGGGTACGATAGTGCTAAAGAGCCAGGCCCAGACTGGGCATAGTGCACGTAGTGCTATAATCCCAGCACTAATGAGGCTGAGGGCAGGAGGATCACAAGTTTGGGTTCAGTTTGGGCTACATAGCAAGACCTGTCTTAAAAACAAAAACAAACAAAAAACTAGGCCAAGCTCTGTTTTAATTTCCTTCTCTTATCTTGAACCTCTGGCTGAGTGGCTCAAGTGGTAGAGAGCTTGCCCAGCAAGCGTGAGGCCCTGAGTTCAAACTCCCATACCAAACAAACAAACAAAAAAAGTATTGACAAAAAATAATAAATACATAAACAAACAAACAGGAAACAGAAAAAATGGTCATAGTTGCTAAATGGATTTTTCTTTTTTTTGGTGGTTCTGGGGTTTGAACTCAGGACTTCCCTTAGCTCTATCACTTGAGCCATCACACTTCCAGCCCCTGCACTGGTTATTTTTGAGATAAGGTCTAGCTTTATGCCTGGGGCAGCAGAGACTGTGATCCTCCCATTTATGCTTCCCCACATAGCTGGGATGACAGGTGGACAGAACAATGCCCAATCATTTGTTGAGATGGGCAGTTTTTGCCTGGGTTGGCCTCAAGCTGAAATCCTCTGGATCTCTGTTTCTCAAATAGCTAGGATTACAAGCTTGAGCCACTGTGCCTGGCCTCAGGGCCTCTTGCTTGTTAGGCAAGTGCTATCACACTTGAGCCCTGCCCCCAGCCCTTGTATTAATATTTTTGATTAACCATTGTTATCAGAAGTAATCCTGGTCCATCCATTTATCCATGAAAACATTTGCTAGTACATATTTTAGCTTGAATGAATGGGTAGAGGTGGTGTTGGTGACCAGAACAGGGGAAATGGAGAGCCATGGTTGGTGGTGGGCACATGTAAGAGTTTGGGTTTGACACGTGAAGTTTCAAGGTACAAATGGGACATTCCAGGAAATAGTTGCTAAGTGAGATGGCTCAAGAGACAGATTTGTAAGTCTCTGGTACACAGGAATGGATGTGGCCTCATTAGTTCAGGGCTTCCCTTATGTCAAGGACATAGAAAAATCTGGAGTTTGAGCTGGGGATCTATCAGGGTCTCTGCATACAACATGCAGGTGGGTTGTGCATCCATCTCTTATGGTGTCATGTGAATAGCACCTGTGGAGTGGGCCACAGTGGTGGCTCTGGGGGCTCCCATCCCTTTCTCTCTCCACAGGGATGAGGAGGGGCTGGAGGTGCTGAAAGAGCAGAACTGGGAGCTGCCCCTGCAGGATGGTGAGGACCCCGAATGATGAGTGACCTGGGGTCGCTGCCCTGACCCCGTCAGGCAGTGGGGCAGGGCTCTGGGGCTCTGGGCTTCCCTGATGCGCCCTGTCTGCCTTCCAGAACCTCTGTACCAGACCTACCGAGCAGCTGTGCTGTCAGAGGAACTGTGGGGGGTTGGTGAGGACGGGGGCCCCTGTCCAGCAAATCCTGGGGAAGCTCCCACCTTCTCAAGGCTCCCTGGACCTCGCAACACCCTGTGGCAGGAGCTCCCAGCCGTGCGAGCCAGTGGCCTCCTGGAGTCCCTCAGCCCCCAGGAGAGGCGCATGCAGGAGGTGGGTACACCTGAGTGGGGCTGGATAGGCACTGGGGAGGTGCGTGGCCCCTCAAGTCTGAGGCAGGCCATGAGCTGCCCTTTCCACCGTGGCCCTGTCCTCCTTTCAAGAGCCTGTTCGAGGTCGTGACATCTGAGGCCTCCTACCTGCGCTCCCTGCGGCTGCTGACTGACACCTTCGTGCTGAGCCAGGCACTCCGGGACACACTCACTCCCCGGGATCACCACACACTCTTCTCCAATGTGCAACGAGTCCAGGGCGTCAGCGAGCGGTCAGTGGGGTTCTGTGAGGTCCTCCTAGGAATCCTGGCCTAGGGCTTTCTCCCTGGCCCAGGCCCTTCCTTGCTCCCCTTCCCATTCTCCCCTCCAGAAGCTGGAAGACCTGGCTCTCTGCCCCCTTCCATTGCTTGCTCCCCTTACTCCTTCAGGTTTCTGGGGGCATTGCTGTCTCGCGTGCATTCTTCCCCCCACATCGGCGACCTGTGTGATGTGGTGCACACGCATGCCGCAGGCCCCTTCTCAGTGTATGTGGATTATGTGCGGAACCAGCAGTACCAGGAGGAGACCTACAGTCGCCTTATGTGAGTACAGTGGTCTCCCGTCCACCTGTGCTGTGACCCATAGCAGATGTCTGGAACCATGGAGTACCAAGCTCTTCATATATGCTATGTTTCCTATACATACATACCTATAAATTAGGCACAGTGAGAGATTGACAATAACTAATAAGAAAATAAAAGAATTATAACAACATAATGTGACAAAATTGCCAGCATCACTATTCTTGACCTTGGGGTCATTATTAAAATAAAGGTTATTTGGACACAAGCACTGTAATCCTGCCACAGTCAATATGATAATTGAAATGGCTACTAAGTGATTCACGGGTGGGTAGTACATACAGCATGGACACACCAGATAAAGGGATGATTCACATTCCGGGTGGAATGGAGTGGAAAAGCTTGAGACTTCATCACACTACTCAGAAAAATGCTCCATTTTGAACTTACGAATTGTTTATTTCTGGAATTTTCTGTTTGCTATATTTGAGCTGAGGCTCACTTTGGGTAACTGAAACCATGGAAAGCAAAACCATGGATAAGGGGCACTGTTGTATCCCAGAGGTGTGGGAGATCAGGATCACCCCCACCCCCTCAGGGCAGCCACTAGCCCGCTGGACCTGCTTCTGCAGGGACACAAACATGCGCTTCTCAGCGGAGCTGCGTAGACTGCAGAGCCTCCCGAAATGTGAGCGGCTCCCGCTGCCGTCCTTCCTGCTACTACCCTTCCAGCGCATCACCCGGCTCCGTATGCTGCTGCAGGTATGTCCTCACCTGGGGCCCGTCCCCTCGTCCCCCCTCCCCTCCACCATCTCTGCTGGAGAACTCTTGCCACAGGCCTCTGGTCTGGTCATCACCATTTCCTGCTTCACCATGACCACATAAGCCCCCCAGATCTCATCTGGATCTCTCGGTGAAGGTCTCACCACCCCTCCATGGAGCTAGCTACCCACGTGCCCTCTGACCCACGGGGCGTAGTGGCTGCAGGGAAATGGCCTCTGGCTGGAGCCACAGCAAACTGCCCTCTCTTGGCCTCTGAGTAGCTGATAGCACCTCCAAAGGGGCAAACACTGGCTCTTTGGGGGATGAAAAAAACCCATGAATTCCAATGGTTGTAGAACTTCAAAGGGCCACATGGCACATAAATAGATTTAGGATGTTTATCTGCAGAATTAAAATTTTATGAAAAGGATCTGGGGGTGTGGCTCAGTGGTAGAACACTTGCCTAGCATGTGCAAGGTGCTGGATTCAGTCTCTACCACCACCAAAACAAAAAGAAGTGTCTAAAAATGGTTCCTTAGTGAGATAATACTGAAAAAAAAAAAAAAGGTTGAGAAACACCCTTCTATTGATCCAGCATAGGGATCTTTTATTTTATTTATTTATTGGGACTGAGGTTTGAATCACACCTCCACTCCATTTTGTTCTGGTTGTTTTTGGAGTTGGGGTCTTATGAACTATTTGTCCAGACTGGCCTCAAACTGAGTTCCTCTTTATCTCAACCTCCCAAGTAGCTAGGCTTATAGGCATTTGCTCCCAGCTCCCAGCTTAGGTGTTTTCATATAAGGTCTCATTTATGTCCAGGCTGGCCTGGACCACAATTCTCCCATTTGTGCTTCCCTGAATAACTGGGGTGACAGGCGGTGGCTATACACCTCCTGAGTAGCTAGGATTATTGGCTTGAGACACTGTGCTCTGCTCCTAATGTGAAAAGTCTCCAAGCAGATGATCAGGTCCTTCCTTCCTTCCTTCCTTCCCTCCTTCCTTCCTTCCTTCCTTCCTTCCTTCCTTCCTTCCTTCCTTCCTTCCTTCCTTCCTTCCTTCCTTCCTTCCTTCCTTCCTTCCCTCCTTCCTTCCTTCCTTCCTTCCTTCCTTCCTTCCTTCCTTCCTTCCCTCCCTCCTCCTTCCTTCCCTCCTTCCTTCCTTCCTTCTTCCCTCCCTCCCTCCTTCCTTTCCTCCTTCCTTCCTTTTCTGTCTCTCTCTCTCTCTCCTCCCTCTACCCCTCCTCCTCCTCTCCCTGCCCCTCCTCCTGAGGATCAAATCCAGGGACTCCTGCATGCTAGGAAAGTACTCAACCACTGAGCTACACCCCCAACCCAGCTTTTTTTTTTTTTTTTTCTGAGATAGGGTCTTGCTATATAGCCCAGGCTTGCCTTGAGCTTGCAATCCTCCTGTCTGAGTTTACTGAGTGCTGGGATCACAGACATGCACTGCCACATCTGGCTGCCACCAGCTTCTTTATATCATATTCTACTAGTGTGTTGTCATCAGTGTGGACAACACAATAAAAATAAAATACCAGCTGGGCACTGGTGCCTTATACCTATAATCCTAGCTACTTGGGAGGCTGAGATCGGGAGAATCGAGGTTCAAAGCCAGCTTGGGCAAATACTTTGTGAGACCCCATCTCCAAAAAATGAGAGCAAAATGGACTGGAGGTGTGGCTTGAGTGGTAGAGCGCCTGCTTTGTAAGTGCAAAGCCCTGAGTTCCAACCCTAGGCTCACCAAAAAATAAAAATAAAGATACCAATCATAGTCATGACTCAGTGGCTGTTGGGTGCATTGTTCGAGGCACAGTTTCAAGTGCCATATGCCTGTTTAACCTCACGGAAAACTGTGTGAAGGCAGGAGCTATTCTTTGCCCTACTTAGAAAAGGAAACTGAGGCACAAGTTAATTAGCTTGCCCCAGGTCATGCAATAATACTTGATGGAGACAAAATTGAAATTCAGGCACTCCTAACTACTCTGCTATATGGTTTGCAGTAATAGTTGAGGTTAACAATGAGTAAAATAAGGCTAGGTGTGTGGCTCAAGTGGTAGAGTACCTGTCTGGAAAGCACAAGTTCCTGAGTTCAGACCCTAGTACTGCAAAAAGGAAAGAAAAAGAAAAGAAATAGTACCAACCTTCTTTTTCAGCATGTATTGTGTGACAAGGATTATGCTAAACCTTTTCATACATTACCTCCTTGAATCTTCACAATGATGCTATTGATATGTTAGGTGGGTATTATCCTCATTTTACAAATGAGGAAACTGAGGTTTAGAGAAGTGACATGATAGCTTAAGGTTATGCATCTGGTGAGTGGTGAGGTTCCTCAACCCCAAACTGAGCATCTCGCCAAACCAGGCAGGGTCCTCTGAGCTGTGGCCCTACTGAATCTAAGAGCTGCACAACAGGGCGCCCCAGTCACCCTTCCTTGTCCACAGAATATTCTGCGTCAGACAGAGGAGGAATCCAGTCGCCAGGAGAATGCCCAGAAAGCCCTGGGTGCTGTCAGCAAGGTGGGCAGGAGGGAAGCTGAGGTGGGAGAGGTGATGAGGGGGTAGGGAGAGGCGGAAGGGAGCAGGACCGACCACTGGGAGGGTGGTGATTTGCCTCCCCTCGACAGATCATTGAGCGCTGCAGTGCAGAGGTGGGGCGTATGAAGCAGACTGAGGAGCTGATCCGACTCACCCAAAGGCTGCGTTTCCACAAAGTCAAGGTTAGTCCCTGATCAGCCTCCCCATTTGGCCTCTCCTGTGACAGGGTTCCAAGCTGGAACCTCCTCTGCTTGTTCTTTGCAGGCTCTGCCCCTGGTCTCTTGGTCACGGCGCCTGGAGTTGCAGGGAGAACTGATCGAATTAGGGTGCCGGAGGGGGGGCGTACTCTTCACCTCACGCCCCCGCTTCACCCCCCTCTGCCTGCTGCTCTTTAGTGACCTTCTGCTCATCACTCAGCCGAAGAGGTGTGTCCTGCAGGGAAGGGGGGGAGCCTGGGATGAGGTAGAGAGGAGGTGTCTAGCAGGACCCCCTGCTCTCCTCTGAATGCCTTCTTCCCTGGGCAGTGGGCAGCGCCTGCAGGTTCTGGATTATGCCCATCGCTCCCTGGTGCAGGCCCAGCAGGTTCCGGACCCATCTGGACCCCCTACATTCCGCCTTTCCCTCCTCAGCAACCACCAGGGCCGCCCTACCCACAGGCTACTCCAAGCTTCCTCCCTGTGAGTCATGTCTCCAGAAAACGCTGTTGGGGGCTAGGGGCGAAGCTCAGTGGGAAAGCGCTTGTCTAGCATGCAGGAGGCCTGGGTTCCATTCCTAGCACTGCAAAAGCAAAAAAGCAAAAAAGCATAAGCCAGGTATGGTGTGGCACCCCTACAATCCCACCACTCAGGAAGCTGGGTCAGGAGGATCACAAGTTCAAAGCCAGCTTAGGCTCAAAATAAGACCCTATCTCAAAAAAAAAAAAAAAAGTGGGGCTGGAGGCATGGCTCAATTGTGGCAGAGTACCGGTCTAGCAAGTTCAAATCCAGTACCACCAAAAAAACCCAAACCAAGCAAACAAACAAAGAAAACCCCATCCTTGGGCTGAGGGTTTGGCTCAAGTGATAGGGTGCCTGCCTACCAAGCACAAGGCCCTGAGTTCAAACCCCAGTACCACCAAAAAAAAAAAAAAAAAAAAAAAAAAAAAAACCCATCCTTGGGACCCTCCCCTGAACTCTCAAACCCCACCATCCCCTTCCCCTTCTCTGTCCTCCATGGTCCCTGCCTCACCCCCAGGAGGATCTCCTGGGCCAACTGTGACCCTTCCTTCTTTCACTGTCAGATCAGACATGCAGCGCTGGCTGGGAGCCTTCCCTACCCCAGGTCCCCTCCCTTGCTCCTCAGACACCATCTATGAAGACTATGGTGAGTATTACAAAAAGGGAGGAGGGCAGAAACAGTGAGTCTTAAGAGGAGTATGGGGCAGAAGCTAAAAAGAATCTGAACTTTACTGTCATGTCACCCGCCCCCCTCCAGAGTGTTCCCAGGAACTATGTTCAGAGCCATCTACACCTGCCAAGACTGAGGGGCGGGGTCCAGAGTCCAGGGTTCCCCCCAAGCATCCTCACAAGAGCCCTGAAGGTGAGAGAGCCTTTCGTTTACTCATTCAGTAGCTGTTTATTAAACACTGTGAACCAAATCCGCCAAGCTTCCTGCTCTGCTGGCGCATGCATTGTACCAGAGAAGGCAGGTCATAGGGGTAGACAGGGAAATAAGTTGTATGTAGTATGTTGGAAGAGGAGTGCAATGGAAAAAACAAGGGTGGTAGAGGAAGGAGGTCAGGAGTTCCAGGCATCGACAGAGTTTCAGAATAGGGAGGGTGAGGTGGACATCCTTGCAAAAGCAACATGTGGGCTTGATGGAGGAGAGGCAGATCAGGCACGTGGCATCTGGAGGAAGAGTGTCTCAGCTGCAGGGAACAGGTAGTGCAAAGACCCTATGGCTGGTATGTGATGAAGAGCTTGGAAGGAAGCCAGCTTGCCTAGAGGGAGCCAGAAAAGGGGGGGAAGAGCAAAGGAGGTCACAGTGATTACTGGGACCAGATCTTGCTGATCATTACAGGCCCCTACAAGAACTTTGCTTCTTGCTCTGAGTAGCATTAAGAGTTAGTGCAGGACTAGAGAAAGTGACACAGACCTGATGCAGCTGTCATCCCTGATGCTGATGCCCTCCCTACCAGGTCCCAAGGTCTGAGACCCCAGAGAGCTTCCTTTCCCTCTTCACTTGACCTCCGGTACCACCTCACTTGAGTAGCTGTCTCTTTCCCCAGGCTGGCTGAAGGGGCTTCCTGGGGCCTTCCCTGCCCAGTTGGTGTGTGAAGTCACAGGGGAACATGAAAGGAGAAAGCACCTACGTCAGCACCAGAGACTTCTTGAGGCTGTGGGTCCCTCTTCAGGAACCCCCAGTACCCCCCCACCCTAATGTAGGATGGGAAGGGGGTACAGGTTGTGACGCTGGCAACACCTCACAAAGAAAACAAAATCCAGCCACACATTCATCAGATTCAGTGGAAACACTACCTCTAGTGACAACCAATAGGAGCAGCCAATGAAACAAGGTCGTCTGAGCCCACAGCAATAAGAAAGAATGAAGATGGCTTGAATGTGTTGCCAATGGAGAAAATAGAGGCTTAGTGCAGAGTGGCCAGTGGGTACTGACCTGGCTAAGCCCCTGGCCAATGAGTATCCTTGTATGCTCACAGCCAAAGAAGACAAAGCTGAGTCAATACAGGTGGGAAAGGACAGCAGCCTAGAGAGATAGTCCTAGCCCACACAGGTGGCCAGGGACCCATCCAGCCAAAGCAGATGGTGATCTGGGCTGAACAGGGCTTATCCTGTTCCGTTCTACAGCAACAACTAGACCTTCCCTTTGAGTCAGGGAAGCATTAGATTCCATTCCTGGGGTACTTCCTATGCCCTCTCAAGACACTTCCTGTCTTCTAGAAGAATCTGGTGTGTACATCTCAGAGAATTTGTGTCTGTGTGTGTGTGTGTGTGTCTGTGTGTGCGTGTGCATGCCCGTATGTTCGTATGCATTTGTGTATCTATGAATCAGAGAAGGTGACTCTGTTGAATATGATGTTTGTGTGGTGGTTATCCCCTCCCATGACTGAATGTTCTATTTCTTCTCTCATTCCACATTTTTCCTGGCATTCTCTCCAAGAAAGACATTAGGTCTGAGCTCCAAAAAGAGTGTGCTGGTGTGCTTGGCAGTCCAAGGCCAGGGCTGGGGAGGAAGGCCCTGGATTCTGGGTTTCTTGGAGACCAGGGTTCCATGAGGATTGGAAGGCAATGTTATGAAGTCATCAAACAGTCTGGCAGAGGAATGTGAAGAACAAATGATGGCCAGTAACTGGGGCTTAAGGCCCTATGACTCCTATAGGCCCTTCTCCTTACCCCAAACACTGGCCTGCATATCCTCCAACTCGAACTGTCATCAGTTAGCCAGACTCAGCTTCTGGCTGAAGGACAAGCTGGATCCCAGCTCGGGTGAAGAAATGGAGCTATGGATCACAGGCTGGCTGGCCAACCTCCTGGGATTCTGCCACCATCTGTTTACAGAAACATAGGGCTGAACAGGAGAGAGTGAAGAGCCGTGCTGTCAGTCCTGATCAGAGCATCTACTTCTGATGAGAAACTGCCTGCCATGATGCCAGAGGAGGTGAGGACCAGACACAGTGGAATACACAGTTGTTGGACATGGGACCCAGGCTTGGGATGAGGCCTTCCCTGCACTAGGCTATCACATGTGTCCTTCACCACATGTATGGCAGTTTACCCAGGAAAGAAACTCCATGAGGTACATGGGCTCCAGAGACTCAGAGAGAGAAGAGCACTGGCATTTGGCATGTCCATGACTTTGGGGATTCACTCAGCATAGTGCCTGGCATTTGCAAAACCCTCAATAAATGTTGGTGGAGTTGTATTGAGGTTTTTCAGGACTGTGTGTGCTTAAATGAATAGTGGTCTACAATGTGGTCACAAAGGTATCAAGAGCAGGGGGACATTCCATTGGGAACTGGGGCTTGGAGACCAGCTGCAAGGCCCAAGCACATTGGCTCATGCACAACTCCTGAGAGACCTATGGTGGCAGTGGTGGTGACAGTGGCATCACTGGGTTTGCAGCTGCTGTAGTTGGGGAGGTGAGGGAAGGCCCAGTGGTGGCTAAGGCTCTGATGGGATGAAGATTCAGTGAGAAGGACAAAGGTGCAGTGAATCATCCAAAAAGGTCCTTTACTGACCACACAAGCATCTTTAAAAAAATTTTTTTTTGGTAGTAGTGGGGTTTTGAATTCAGAGCCTCATGCTTGCTAGGCAGATACTCTACCACTTGAGCCACTCCACTAGCCCTCTGTGTGTGTGCGTGTGTTGCATATTTTTGAGACAGGGTCTTACGAACTATTTGTCTGGGCTAGCTTTGAACCACGATCCTCCTGATCTCTGCCTCCTGAATAACTAGGATTACAGGCATGAGCCATGGGCATCCAACTAGGCTTTACTATTCTTCACTGGTAATGGCACATACACATTTTTAGAAATGTCAAATTTGGGAAAACATCTATCAAGTTTCTCATATATGATCTCTTAACAATTTCAGAGAATTCCAGGTTTCATATTCTATGCCTATTTATTGAGTGTCTCCTATGTGGCAAGCACTATTCTAGGATCTGAGGATGCAGAGATGAAAGACGGGGTCCTTGCCCTCAGGGGGCATACACAGGGGAGGGGGAATAATTACCAAGTAGACAATTTTTGTTTTTTGGTGGTACTGGGGTTTGAACTTAGGGCTTCACACTTGCTACGCAGGCACTCTATCACTTGAGCCACTTCACCAACCCAAGTAGACAAGTAAGATGAAATTAGTAAGTGCTATGAAGAAAATACAGCAAGGACCATGGCACAGAATGTTATGTGTGGAGGTGACTTTAAGGAAGACCCTGGAGGAGATGACAAGGAGACAGCTATGGGAAGATCTGGAGAGGTGGCAACAAGGGATTACAGGCCAGGAACAGAAGGTAGAGGCAGTGGGGATGGATCCGGTGCACCTGCTCCTTCACATTTTCTGATGGGGAGGGGGAGTCTTTCTCCACCAAGCTCCCCACCACACACACTTTTTGTTTTCTTTGAGACAGGGACTTGCTATGTAGCTTAGGCTGGCCTCAAACTGGATCCTCCTGTTTCTGCCTTCCAAGTGTTGGGATTACAGGTGCAGGCCACCATGTCTGACTGCCTCTTGTTCTTTGTCATAAGATGGAGACAAACTGAGGTACTCAGAGACAATATCCAGGGACAGATTCAAAGCTGCACATGTGTCCCTTTCAGGCCTTCACCCTCTGTGGGAGTTCTGTCATTAGGAAGTCTCCGTGCTTCAAACTGTAGATTCTAATAGTGAGATAATGGGGAGACAGAGCAGTTTGTATGGGGAGACATACAAAATAAAACCATATGTTCCAAAAGAGAATGAGAAGGCAGGGAAGAAAGGGGACTGTCATGTTTCCTGTCTTCCTGGGGTTGGTTTCTGTTATCTTAGAGCCCTCCTTTCTGCTTTGGGGTGACCCGAGTATGTTTGTGCAATCCTGGAGGAGTCTGAATTCTGCAGGCCTGTTTGAGAGGGTTGAGGGGCTGAAGCACAGCTGTAAGGGCAGATGGGGGAGTAAGGACCACAGTGAGAGGAGAGTAGATGCAAAGGGAATGGGGATGAGGCAAGGAGGACAGAAGAGCGGGAATGTGGGGGGAGGGGTACAGGTGTTACAGGTGGTTCTTTGCTCATTCTAGATTCTCTCTCCCTCTCCCACATCACCCTGTTCGGGCATCTACTTCTCTGCCATGGTCCTGTACAGTCTCCTGAGTGGCTATCATCCTGTTCCTCCAGCCCACTTTCTGCCATCCCTTCCAGCAGAGCTAGCTCTCTGGCCATCCCTGAAAACTTCTCTCCTTTGCAGGGCTCACCTCCCTCTTCAGCTACAGAGGTAACTGAGGTTCTACTTCTCCAGGTTGGCCAGGACACCATGCAGGCGCATCATCCCGAAGGTGGAGTACCTCTTCTCCAACAGCTCCACCAGGAACCTGATAGACTACCGCAGGCCAGTCCCAGCTTTACTCCCTCTCCAAACTGTGGTCTCCTCACCCCACAGCAGCCAGAGAGCGCCTCCAGCAGACCAGTATGAGCAGAATGCTCATTCCCACCAGGTCGGCCTTCACTCTTAGGCATAGCTAGGGCCACTCTGATTCCGCCCCTCGGACAAGGCTCCGCCTCCGGCATTGGCTCCGCCCCCAGCTGCCCTCTGGCTCCCTGAGGGACATCAGGACTCTCAGGTTCGCGTGCGCACGGCGTGATCGCTCCGCCTCCCTGGCCTCCTGCAGCAGGTCTTCTGGCCCGGCTCTGGCTCCTGGTTCAGTGCTCGCCTCCCACGCCACGCAGGTCCTGGGAGGACCACCCCCCGCTCCTCATCCCAGCCCGGCGAAAGAATCCTGAAGGAGTCGAAGCCGCTGGCTGGCTCTCCCTCCGGGGCACAGACTTCCCCTCCACGCGCTCCTAAGACCCACCGGACTCTGCCTTCCTGAGGTCCCGGCTTGAGTTTACGCTGGTTGATCAGGCTGACCTCGACTTCGGACCCGACTCCATTACCTCTGTGCTCAGCTCTTGGACTCGGACGCCGGGTTGGCTTTTTCCATCAGTCCCTGTACGCACTTCTGCCACGAGGCATTGAGCCATGCCTTGGTGTTTAGGTTCAAAGTGCTCCATATCCGAAACGCTGACTTCCGTCTTCTCCCCCTTGTCACCAATGTTATATTTTCTTCTTTCAAATAGTCTGTTTCTCTGGCCCCTGGAATCGCCCTCCTCTTTCCTTCCGAGGCCTTATCCCACCCTTGTCTCCTTTTTGCGTCTGGGGCTGACGACAGGAGGCCGAGGTTCGGAGGACCAGCTCCCGCAAAAAGTTAGGGAGACTCCATCTCAGTTAACAAGTTGGGCATGGTGGCTCGCACCTGTCATCCCAGCTATGCGAGAAGGGTAAATAGGAGGATCGTGGTCAAAGCCTGCTGGGCAAAAACGTGAGACCCTATCTGAAAAATAACTAAAGTAAAAAGGGCTGGGAGCATGACTCAAGTGGTAGAGTGCCTGCTTAGCAAACTGGAAGCCCTGAGTTCAAGTTGCATACTGCCTCCCCCCACAAAGAGATCCCAAAGAGAGTCTTATTTAGACCATTAAAAGAAATAATAAAGCTGAAAGGCAGAGGCAGGAGGATTTATTGTACACACCTTGGAAGATTTCTTTTGGCTTCCCTTCCTTCCTTAGCTTTGAACTGAGGGCCTCACGCTTGCTAGGCAGGCTTTCTACCACTTGAACAACCCCTCCAGCTCTTTTTTGTGTTGGGCATTTTCCAGATAAGCTCTCATAAACAATTTTTCCCCTGGGCCGGCCTTGAACCGCGATCCTCCTGATCTCTGCCTTCGGAGTAAGTAGGATTACAGTGGACACATGCACATTTTTAGAAATGTCCTCAAATCTGGGACAGCATCTATCAAGTTTCACA